ATTGTTGCTCCACAGGTGTTGATTATGGACACAAGTAAAATGAAATCTTTGGCAACTTCAATCTTTCCTCTATCATGATATTGCTTACTGGTTCAGTTGTGAGGATTTTTGCTTTCTTTATTGTGAGTTGTAATCCATACAGATGGCCATAGTCTTTGATCTTCATCTGTAAGTGCTTCAAGTACTTCACTTTACTTACTCTTCACTTTCAGCAAGGTTGAATCATCTGCATCACAGGTTGTCAGGGAGTCTTTCTCCAATTCTGATGCTGTGTTCTTCTTCTGAGCACTCAATAAACAAGAGCTTGAACAAAGTCCTCAGTACACTAGAGACCATTGGGAAATGTAAATGTTACCTTCCTCTTTTCCTGTCTCAATAACTGTCTTCTTAAAAAACCAAAAAACCAAACCCACTGCCATAGAGTTGTATCCAATTCATAGCAACCCCTCCTTGGGTTTGCGAGGCAGTATCACTACGGAAGTAGATTGCCCAACCTTCCTTCTGAGGAGTGGCTGGTGGGTTTGAACTGTCAGCCTTCTGGATAGTGGTCAAGTGCCTTAGGCACTATGCTACCAGAACTGTCTTCTTATCACTTGGAAATACCCACTAGATAGTCATAGAAGACTCTTCTGAACAAAGTCTTTCTTTTCTTACATGGTTACATTTGTTGTTGTTCCTTGTTCAACTAGGTTTTGGAACTTCCATGCTAGACATGTGAATATTTGCCTCTTTTTAAGAAAAACATAATTGATAAAGGATCCTGGGTAAATAAAAACAGATTATAATCTAATTTAGGTGAAATGGTTACTAGGTGAGTGCATTTTGCCTAAGATGCTTTTGTTTTCTGCACCTCATTTCCTTGGTAAAATGTAGGGCTCAGTGAATATTCCAAAAATCAAACCAAACTCACTGCCTTCAAGTCATTTCCGACTCATAGTGACCCCTCCTCGAATTTCTGAGGTGCTAAATCTTTATGGAAGTAGATTGTTCAGTCTTCCTCCCAAGGAGTAGCTGGTGGGTTTGAACCATCAGCCTTTTGGTTAGCAGTCAAATGCCTTAGGCACTACGCCACCAGAGCTCCCCAGTGAATATGAGCTATTATTATTCATAACAGTAATACCTAAACCTCAGTCTTCTCATCAGTAAAAAGTGGACACTTGTCGTTAGGTGTTGTCAATACTTACAGAATTGTTGTGAGGATTAAATGAAATTATAAAAGTAAAGTTTATAATGTTTGTCACAAATGCTCAAATCTAAATCTTAGCTATTAGCTATAACATCATAAAGGAGGAAAAAAAAATGTTTTCCACACTATATGTCACAACCTACTAGTGTGTTATGAAGTCCATTTGGTGAGTTGCAAATGTCATTTTAAAAAATGAAATAGAAAATAACAGAGTATCATTGTAAGGATAAATATTATTTCATAAATATTTTTGCTTAAGTTACATAGCCCAGGTTTATCGCTTCCTCCCCTTTCACTCTCATCCTTCCATTTCCCTTGCCTTCTACTTTGACCAGAGCAATTCTGCTACATCAGTTTTATTTATTTTCACTTCTGTGCAGGTTCTCTCTTTTTAAAAAAGTGTCCCTAGCTTCTGGTAGAATCTGGTGACATGATTACACCACCATGTTCATTCTACCAATGTCCCTTACGAAGACTAATCTATTTTTTTTTTTTTTTTTCTTTTTAGATGAGGTCCCTGTCTTTCATGCCATCTGGGGAAAATGCTGCAACATGCTTTATTTGGACTTACTCTAGAGAAATATTAAAAAGTTACAACTGCTGCTGCAAGCACACCAGGGAGATTTCTCCTGTGTTGAGTCTTGGGTCCACAGTGGTTGCCATTTACATGTAAGATGTGACCTTTGGTCCATAAAATTCATGTGATGTGAGGCTTCATGTGCTCCCATGTAGGACCCAAGACCAGCCAAGACTGCTGAGTTTCATCTGCAATGATCCCAGGGCTGAGTAATTTCTAGGAATGAGCCCCATTTGTGAACTCACAAAGCATCCTCCAGCTCAGTGGAGTAACAGTCTAATTCCTGATTTCGAGGGCATACAGAAAGTATATATTGCATAGTTGCATTTCAATATCACTGGGAAAAAATAGTTTAAGTTAATTGCCATTCTTTTGTGCTTAGGATCTACTTAATTGATTTCTAAGAAGTTCAATTCATAAAAGATAGCAATGAAAAAGAAAAGTATATATAACATCCATAGATCTAAAGATGTTGTACTTGGTAAAAGTGCTATCTCTTGCATTTCCCAGTGCACTTGTAATTTAAAATGTTTGCATTTTCAATGCAACCTTGTTGATCAGCAAAGAATTTATCCATTTTTAATTAAAGCAATAACATTTAAAACAACACATGCACTACATGAAAAGGTATCAGTGGTAACTGACTGTAGTATTTATAGAAGTGTAATTTAATTGGGAATTGGTTCCTCTGAGTTTACACTATGAGTTCACATGTAACATTAGAGACTAAGACCCCTGAGAAGTGGGATTTTTTTCCAACAGAGGCAGCTGAGTCAGGACAGTCAAGTGTGTCCCTACCAGCTGCCATGGGAGGCTTATGTTTTTGTTTGTCATATATTATCAATCTCAATACCTACTCTACAATGCCATTTTGTGTATTCATTTAACCTATTGAAGAACACGAAGAACATTTAATCATGTAAAGAAGTCTAGGCTTCTAATAGTTTTACTGATGTATTTTTCACCCATAATGTAATTTCTTTTTTATTTTAAAAGGTATCTTAAGAATATGTTCATGTGAAAAATGCCAGAATCACAATTTGTTGAAAAATGCCAGAATCACAATTTGTTGAAAAAAGAAGTTAAAAACCTTCTCTGCCAAGGTTTACTTAGTTTTAGTGTGGAGATTTCTTACATACGAGTCAACTTAAAATTCTATATTCTTCAGTGGTTTGTATAAATTATATGTATAGCTTGAGTATAATGGGACTTTCTATCAGCAATTGTGAATACCCAACAAGTGTATCAGAGAGCTACAACCATTGCTGTCTTTAAGAAACCTTTTATTGTACATATGCACATTTTTTCCAGGTAATTTTTATAGAATTACCTTCTACCTTTTGCCTACCTTCAACCATAGTCTATACGGCACTACAGTTTTAGGTAAGTCCAGCATAGTATCTGTCTCAGACGTGACCTAGGCTAAACTAAGTCTTGTGTAGTATTAAAGGTGTTTACTAAAATTATGTGCAAACAGAAAAAACATTTATGTATTATAAGGAACCCTCGAGTCCAATTAGTTGAGGGCAAATGGCCATGTATGCTGCTTTATAACATCTGCTTCCATGTTCAAATACATTTTTGAAAGGAACTGATCACAATGGTGTTTATTTTCCCCACTCCCCAGCTAGACAGACCATTTTAAAATGGAAAGAAAGAACAGTTGGTAGAAGAACAAAAAGTACAATACTTTTCAACTGTAAAAATAAGGCTAGTTTTTATCAGGAATCATGATGGAGTGGAAGCCTATCTTCATGGTGTTGCTGGAGGCAGGCAACAGTCATGGAACTTACAGAGCACTGGCATAATTCATTGTGACACGATGGTGGGAATTGCTTTTACCCATAGTATTTTCACTTATCGTGAGCACTTTTTCATATACATGTAGAGACTGAAAAAGTGCTCAAAGTTAAGACTATCACGTAAGGACTCCATATTTACAGAGGTAGTTTTCTGTGAGAAAATGGTGAAGAAATTAGAGCTCTTCAATGCTTGTAGATAACTGACTTTGTGAACGAGCAGAATGTATTTCTCATCACAGAATAAACTGTAACATTAGCAATAACAATTAGTACAACAATAATAATATTATTATTATGACTGCTACTGCTACCACACCTCCTAACAGCCAACATTTATTGAGTACTGGACCAGATACTACTTAAACACTTTTACATATTATCTGATGTAATCTGTGTATCAACTTTGAGATAAGTACAAGTATTTTCTGCCTTGTTTGTTCATACGATCTTTAACTTTATTTTAACAAAATAAAGAGTTCACCTTTACTTCTCAAGCCCAGAACCTTGTTTTCTCAGGTAAATCTCACTTTTGAAAGCAGATTTGATAAATTTAACAAAACATGGCCGTTCTGAAATACCTAGCCTTGCAGGAAAGCCAAGCTGGAACTTCTGCTTTCTTTTCTTTTTCAAGTAACTAAAAGCATTCTCACCCAGGGCCAAGGAAACATTCTCAAAGCAGTTCTATAGTATACTACTTGTAAAAATGATGAAAAAATGCTGGCACACTTATAAATAATCTATACTAGAAAATAGTATCTGCTATCATTTCCGCAAATGATCTCATTTGCTTAGAAGAACATTCTTAATTACATAAAAAATAATTTTTTTTGTAAGTAGAATGAGTTTTAAATAGAAACACATACATATATGTATTACAAATACATATATATATGTATGTAAATCTTCAGCTATCTTATTTTTAGTATTTATATGAGTCACGTTATGGTAGATTCATTAAACAGTGGAGCGTGAAGGTACCTTAGAAATTACCAAGTCAAAATTTCTCATTTCATAGCTGTGGAAATGGAGGTCCAGGAAAGTTAAAATCTTAATTAGTTGACATGAAAAAGCCAGACTTAGCACTCAGGTCTCTTGACTCCATTGCCCTCTTTCACTATTCTCACTTCTTCAAGCAATTTGATTGATGAGCAGAATGAAAAGTTACCAAGTTGATTAGGAATATGGATTTAAATTGATTTGGCCAAAGTAAGAACTAACAATAAAGTTGGCTTTTTGAAATACAAAACTGCTTAATCTAAGGTCTTTTAGCACAAGTGCTTTGTATCCTAACTCCTGGTAAAATGAAGGTAATCTCAAATATACTTGAAATGCACATAGATAATTTTCCAAGGCCAGATTTCCTAAATTCTCAAAGCAACCCACCCTCAAGTGCAACTATATCCTCTTTCATGTGTCATTTGCTTCCTGATCTTACCGTGACATCCTGGAACTGGAGCCGCAATGCAGAGCCGGATGGCTGAGGTCGACTGGTGATCTCCAATATAGTTCTCAGCAGGATGTCCAGCAGGCTGGCCACTATCACATCTATTTCCTCTAGCACAGATTTTTCCTTAAGAGAAAAAAGAAAAGTGGTCAGGAAATTGTGGCTTAAGATATGTATTTGGCTCTTTTTAACTGAAAGGGGTAAAAAGCACATTTCTAAATACAGAACCAAAGAATCAAGAGAACTGCAGAGCTTGAGACCTGTATTTCCATTAGTAAGTAAATGACTTTCTCTTATAGATGAGAACTTGGTCCTGCAATGATATCCAAGAAACAAATGATGTCAAGGAAGGGAGCCCTGGTGGCATAATGGGTAAGAGCTCAATTACTAACTGAAAGACTGGCAGTGAGAACCCTCCAGTTCTCTGAGGGAGAAAAATGGGCAGCCTGCTTTGATAACGATTACATACAGCCTCAGAAACCCTATGGGAAAGGTCTTCCCTGTGCTATAGGGTAGTTATGAATTGGAATTGACTTGATGGTAGTGTGTATGGGTTTTGAAATCAGGGAAAGCACAGTGGACTAGTATACAAGAATGCCAGCTACACCACCAACATGGTGTTGTGACCATGCCATTGACATGGCATGTGATCTTGGGCAAGTCCATTTGCCTTTCTGGGACTGATTCTTCACTGACAGTCACTTCTAGTTCTAAAAGTCTATCATTTCTTGTGCTTCATTTATTTTCTCAACACCAGAGTTTCACAGGTCATTTCCCAAAATGCTATTTAAGTACAAAAGACTATTTCTTGAAAAAAGATCAGTAAAATATTAAGGAATGGCATTCACTTATGGCAAATACCATTAGCTGTAGACGAGACCTAAGGCCAGTTGATCACCACAGAGACTACTTTCCTGAAGCACAGTGAATACTATGCAAGCTCCCAGGACTCAAGAGAGAAATTCCAGTTGCTCTGTGTTGACTGTATATAGTTACACCTGTACCAGATGAAACTGTACACAAATGTCCCTACCAAGGAGATCACTCTCTGCAAAGAATACTTTTCAGAAAATGTGAGTTTGAAAGAATTGTTTGGCTAGAAGTTTAAGATACTTTCTTACATTTGCAAGAAAACTACCAAGGTTTTCCCCTCATTGGTTTCTGCTCTGAATTCCTTATAATTCCAAAAACTGCCTGCAACTTCCAAACCGGAATAGAGAAGAGGAAATGAAGCCCCTCCAAAGCACCCTAAGCCACCAAAACCCCAAAAACCTACCTTCAGTACTGTTTTTGTATGTGTATATGTATATATATGTATGTATGTAATACTTTTTCGGTTTTCTGCAGTGGATTTACCTCTTCTTTTTTCACTCTTTTTCTACCCATATACGCCTTGGAGCCTAGGGTGATGGAGTGAGTGAAAAGCAATCATTCCTTTCTGTGAAGATTTCTCTTATTTATACTTTTAGAGATGGAGCTTCTGGCCTTTTTCTCTAAAGTGTCAACGCTGTTCTCTCAGTACTGTGTCCCAGATCACTGTTGGTAAGTAAGAGTAACAAAAATTGGGAAACTGTAGCATAGACGTAACAGGGAGGCAGAGAAAGAGGTGTCTTAGCACTCAGTGCCAAACTCTGCTTTGCAGAACTTGTAACTGATCAGTATGATGCTTAGTTAACTACTGCAGATAGACAGAACTAAAGCAAGACATCCTTCACATGTGGATTTCATATCAGACTCCTCAGCCATGAACATGAATACTATGAGCTGTCCTATTTATAAGCATCCATGTGATTTTTCTCCAATTGCATTGCATTCTCTAATGCAAATCACACTGCATCAAGAAACAGGAACAGTGAAAGGAATCGCCAAAGCCCTAACAACATGGTGATACCACTAGAGCTGATCAGTGCTTGCACTGTAAGGTCTTCCTATCTCCTGGGGCTTTCCTCTGCCACCACGTTTTCACCTATCCCAAGGGCCATGGCCAAGCACAAATCATCATCACTCAGCCTTTCACACAATGGGCCCAAAGTTTGCATTTTACAGCAATAATTTATTCTTGCCACAGAACATTCTTCTATCAAGATTAAAGACATTTGTGGGAGGCTTTGAGCTTTCTAATTTTTTCTTACTTGGTATTCAGTTCTTTCTTGAAATATAAGATTAGGAAATCTAGGTTATTCAGGGTTATAACAATCCCACAGGGTTGGAAAAAAAAATCCTTCAGAGGAAAAACAAAAAAAGGAAAAATTCCAACCCAGCTGCAAATAAAAATAAGAGTCTCAGAGGTTGTCCTTTAGTGTGGTTTCTTTGATGATTAGAAAAATTTCATTTCCGGAAAATATTTGACAGGAACTACATACTAAGACTTGTATTTACTTACTGAGCTATTTTTCTTGATGAGACAAAATACGTTGCTAAGGATACGAGCGCACATGATCAGGTCCTTCTGTTCTTGCAAATGCACGTGAAGGTGATGTAAAACGACAGGCAAGAGAATGTACCGGGAGTCTGAAGAGAGAAGAATCATTAGTGTCTCATCTGTTACAGTCCCACACAAATCTTGGGCAAATCTTTATCTACTTTCAAATTTAATTGTTAAACTACTAATGCATGTATTTAAAAAGTAATAGTTCTACAAGGTTTATATTGAAAATTAGTAGTTTCTTTCCCCTCATCTCCCTAACTCATGATTCCTGCACTCAAGAGGTCTTTGATGCTCTTAGTTCAAATATGCTTCTTCTTTTATAATTTTATTTTTAACCACTAAATTTCTCTATGGCATGCTTATCTTGTTACTTCCTTATTTTTTCATTGAGAAAGATCATCTGCTGAGGATTTAGCTTTTTAACCTCCTTCCTCCACTCCTCAGCCTCTCAAAATAATTATGTCACAATTTCTGTCTGAATTAACATTTAGAGCTTGCTACTCTTCTGATTTTCAATGCTGTGTACACGAGCTGTTTTTGTTTTGTTTTTCTTTCTCTGAATGTTCTCAGGAACTCACCTTTATCCCTGATAATTCAAAATTTCACAATTATGTACCATAATTGGTCCTTTCAATCAATAAATTCATGTCTTTCTGTTCTAGAAACTTGCTTTGAATTATTTTTACGATTATTTCCTTCCTTCTGTCTCCTTTGTCCACTGTCTGGAACTTAAACTACATTCATATCACATATCTCTTGAACAATTTTCCTTTTTTTGGGCTAATTTTCTGGACAATTTCCTTCCTTTAACTTCCGACTCTTCTACCCAATTTTCTTATTTATGCTGTCATATATTTAATTTCCAAGAACTCTTCCTTCTTTCCAGGGCCAGTTTTGTGGGTGTGCAACCTGTGCAGTCACACAGGACCCTGCGCTCATAAGCACCATGCTGGGCTTAAAGCATTTTCATGACGCAGCCACTCCTGCTTATTTCCCTGAATGTTCTCTTTATACAGCTTCCTGTTCTTGTTTCACAGATGCAGTATCTTCTGTCTCTGCAGAACTCATAGACAGTTACTCTGACGTCTTCTGCTCCCTGCATTATCTTTTTCTTTCAAGTTCCTTTTTTCTATTTTTTCATTTTGGCCTCTGCCTTTCATAGTGAGGTTTTTCTCCAGTGTCTGGTGATCTCTCACTGTCCATTCATTGCTGCAAGTGAGACACTAGAATACTGATTGGAAAGGAGGCTCTACGTGCCTAGGAAAGCTTGGAGACTAGTGAAGCGTCACTGCATGGATATGAGCCATCCAGTATTTCACTGGGGGAATCCCAAATTTCAGTACCTGAGAAATTTCTCTTAGGCTGGTCAATTCTCTAGAGAGGAATCTGTCAAGTTCCTCTTGGAAGAGCATGAACCCATGTTTTAGTCATTTGAAATCAAGAAAGGAAGTGGTGGAGAGGTGCTCTCTGATTAATTGGAAGGCCCTGTTTTTAGTATAAGGAACTCTTGTGTACTGGGTAAGGTATTTGGCTGCTAACCAGAAGGTCAGTGGTTCAAACCCACCAGCTACTCTGTAGGAGGAAGATGAGGCAATCTACTTCTGTAAAAATTTATAGCCTTGGAAACCCAATGGAGGTCACTATGAGTCAGAATAGACTCAACAGCAGTAGGTGGGTTTTTAGTATGTTGTTGTTGTTGTTATGTGCCGTCGAGTCGGCCCCGACTCATAGCGACCCCTCCTTGGGTTTCCGAGGCAGTATCACTACGGAAGTAGGATTGCCCAACCTTCCGAGGAGTGGCTGGTGGACTTGAGCAGCCAGCCTTCTGGTTAGCAGTCAAGTGCTTTAGCCACTATGCTAGTATGGGGTCTCCATATTCCAAATTTAGCTATGTCTGCTGCTCCTGAATCCAGGCCCTATGTCATTCACATTTTTTAGGGAGTAAACTTTGAGTGTTTTTTAGCTGAAATAGAACAGAGGTTTGGGGTAGTCTGAGGTGCTAACTATTCCTTAAAAATTTTCATATTCCAACCATCTTTCATCTTTAGAAATACTTGACATTTTCAATTCCTGAGCCTTTCTGAAGCCTTCTTCAGGTGCTGTGGTGTAAATCAGTTTGTCGCTTGGTTCCTCCCCAACTCCACCCACACTGTGGCTTTGTTTTAGTCTTGTTTGCTAACTCACCTGCCACTCATTCTTATAAAAACTGGTGACACCTCTTTTGCATTGTTATCTCCTCACCCATTCTCTTAGACCTTATGAGCTTATGCCTTTTCAAAAATTTTCTGTACTGCAAACAGATGCCAAAGCCCTTTGAAAACTTCAGCAAATCAATTCCAGCAGAATAAGAAATAGGTATTACTTCATGACCAGATGGGTTTATTCTAAATGTAATCTTTAAGGTCTGAAAATCATGTCAGTGTACTTTCATCAGGGAAGAAAGTTAAATACATGCATCATTTCTCTAGGCTTAACTGGAAGTCTTATATTGATCCCCAACTTGCCCTTAAATAAAGTTATTGTCTATTACATGACCATTATTTACTGGCATATTAAGGAGCCCTGGTGGAGCAATGGTTAAAGTGTTTGGCTGCTAACTATTGGCAGCTTGAACCCACCTAACGGATCCTTGGGAGAAATGCCCCGGCAATCTATCCCCATAAAGATTACAGCCTATGAGTCCCTATACGGCAGTTCTACTCAGTGTCATGGGGTCACTATGAGTTGGAATCTACTTGTCACACAAAACAACAACATTACATGCAGATGCTCTAGCTCCTTCCCTTGCTGTTTGTGCTTCTAAAAGATTTCATTTGTACAAAATTAAGTCAGACTATTCTTGGTTTACAAAAACTCGTGTAGCTTGTAAATAGCTTGCATAAATTAAAATTCCGCTTGACTCACTCAAGAGAAAACAGATAACATAAGTAGTTCTATATCTATTTAAAAAAGTGAATTTGTAGCTAAAACCTTCCCACAGAGAAAATTTCAGGTCTAGATAGCTTCACTGGTTAATGCTATGATGCATTTAAAGAAGAAATGATATCAAATTTTCATAAATTCTCTCAGAAAATAGAAAACCACAGAATATAATTCACTTATTTTTTGAGGCCAGCATTGCCCTGATACTAAAATCAGCCAAAGACATTGCAAGACTAGAGCACTACAGACTGATACCATTTGTGAACATAGATGTAAAAATCTTAAGCAAGTTTAGCAAAATTAATCCAGTAATAGGAGCTCTGGTAGCATAGTGCCTAAGGGATTTGGCTGCTAACCAGAAGGCTGGCAGTTCAAACCCAACAGCCACTCCTTGGAAGGAAGGTTGGGCAATCTACTTCTGTAGTGATACTGCCTCAGAAATCCAAGGAGGGGTCGCTATGAGTTGGGCCCGACACATAACAACAACAAAACAATCCAGTAATAGATATAAATATAAAACACTATGATCAAATAAGGAGCTCTGGTAGCATAGTGCCTAAGGCACTTGACTGCTCACCAGAAGGCTGGTGGTTCAAACCCACCAGCCACTCCTCGGAAGGAAGGTTGGGCAATCCTACTTCCGTAGTGATACTGCCTCGGAAACCCAAGGAGGGGTCGCTATGAGTCAGGGCTGACTCGACGGCAAACAATAACAACAACAACATGATCAAATAAGGTTATACTGAGAATTTAAGGTTGGATTAACATTTTAAAGTCAATCAATCAACATAATTCACCATATTAGCAGTAGATACAGAAAAAAATGTGACAAAATTCACCATCCATTCATGACAAAAACTCTCAGCAATCTATGAATAAAAGGTAACTGCCTTAATTTGATAAAGGCATTAATAATAAGCCTACCTATAAAGACAATGCTAAGATCACAACAAGGAAGAATGCCCAATCTTAGAAATTCAATTCAACATTATGCAGTTACTCCTATGTAGTGTAATAAAGCATTAGAAAACAAAACAAACAAATGCTTATAGATTAAAAGGCATAAGTAAGACTGCCTTTACTTGTAGATGGCATGCCCATGATTACTGATTGAACTGTGTCCCCCAAAATAGGTAGTGTAAATCCTAAACCCTACATTTGTGGTTATAATCCCACTTGGGAATGGGGTTGTGCTTGCTTTGATGGTGTAGTATCTAAGGCATTTGAGTGCTAACCAGAAGGTTGGTGGTTCAAATCCACCAGCCACTTCACAGAAGGAAGACTGGGCAATCTACTTCTGTAGAGATTCACCACCTCGGAAACCTAATGGAGGTTGCTGAGTCAGAACTGATGCAACAGAAGTGGATTTATCAGTGTAAAGTGTGTCTTAAATTGATCTCTTAAAAAAAAAAAAAAAAAGGCAGACTGATCAAGCCACTAAGGAAGGAAGCAGAGATGGGGAAGACAAATGCCACACCACAGGAAGATCTCTAAGGAACAAGGACCTTCCCCTCAAAGTTGACAGAGAGAAAGACTTCTCCTAGTGTTGGTGCCCTGAATTTGCACTTCTAGTCTCCTAAACTGTAGGAGAATAAATTTCTGTTTTGTCGAGCCACCCACTTGTCCGGTTTCTGTAATAGCAGCACTAGATAACTAGGATGATCATCTACATAGACAATCTTGTGAAATCTTTAAAGACATTTCTAGAAATAATAAAAGTCCAGCAGTGTCACAGAATACAAAGAATCATCGTATTTCTATATACTGACAACAAACAGAAATTGAAATGAAGAACTATTGCCCGGAGATAATCTTTAAATCTTAAACCAACAATATCCCAATGTCATCTTAACACTGAACAGTGGTTTAGCTTATCCAGCAAAAAAGGTCTGCCTTGAGCATATGCTCTTTAAAGAACTATCTCCATGGGATCAAGTTGACAACACTAATTCAAAAGATTAGAGAGGAATCTTAGTGGGGAGTGAGTTGATGTTAATGAGGAAGGAACGACTCAGAAAAGAAGGGTGGGGATAGTTGCACAATTCAAAGAATATAATCAGTATCACTAAACTGTACATGTAGAAAGTGTTGAATTGGGGTATGGCTTGCTGTATATTTTCCCAATAACAACAACAAAATAATTTTTTTTTTAAATGAAAAA